CATGCCAGATGCTGTGCTGGGTCCCCCACACAATGAACACATTTCATTTTCCTGCCAATCCCATGATTCTCTTTTTTTTTTTTTTTTAAAGAGAGAGAGAGGAGAGAGAGAGAGAGAGAGAATTTTAATATTTATTTTTTAGTTATCGGCGGATACAACATTTTTGTTTTGTATGTGGTGCTGAGGATCGAACCAGGGCCGCACGCATGCCAGGCAAGCACGCTACCGCTTGAGCCACATCCCCAGCCCCCCATGATTCTCTTTTAAGGCAGGACAAAATTAGGGCTCAGGGGTGCATGGTAACTTGCTAGCTGACCTACCTAGTCTTGGCCACAGGCAGACATGGGGCATCCAACTCCAACTCTGGAAGGGTCCTGATCCGCCCCACACCTCCTTCTAGGAAACCAGTTCCAAGGATAGACTGAAGGAAAAACAGCTTCTAACAGATGGGAGTGAGAAGGTGGCAAAGAGTGGTCCCAAATCCATTGCCCTACACTCCAGGGTCAAGAGGTGTACAAAACAGGGACACAGAGCTTGCTTCGGGCACTGTTAGCATCAACATGATCAGTATTTCCTCCAGTGTCTTAGCATTTGCCTAGCTTGGGGTGAGGGTGGGGTTAGGAGCTATATTAATTTACTAGGATCACCATAACAAAATACCATAGACTGAGTGGCTTAAACAACAGAAATGTACTTTCTCACAGTTCCAGAGACTGGAAGTCCAAGTTCAAGGTGTCCGCAGGGTTGATTTCTCCCAAGGTCTCTCTCCTTGGCTTGAAGATGTCTACCTTCTCTCTTATGTCCTCATATGGTCTTTCCTCTGGGCATGCATGGTGCTGTCACATTTCCCCAAGAACACAGTCATAATTGGATAAGCGTCCACCCTAAAGGCCTGATTTTAACTTGATTACCTCTTTAAAGACCCGGTTTCCAAATGGATTCAGGATTTAACGATTCAGGACTTTACCCATGGATTTTGTTGGGGGGAAGGAGGGACACATTTGAAATAGAAGCCATATGGACACATATATAGGGACACATATATAACCCAAATAGGTTTTAGTTGCGTGATGGCACACCCTGCAAAATGTGCACTTTCATGTGCAAATTGGTTATTTTTTTATGCGTGCACAAAAACATCTTCCTTAAAAACAGACATCCGTGAGAAAAATGTTCAAACACTCTGTACATTCCCTATTCGTTGTTTTTAAGAGTCATGAGTCTTTGGTTTGGCTCAAGAAAAATTATGTATGAAATCCAATAAATGAGAAGTCTATTGCTCAACCACTTTTGAAAAATGTCTATCACAGAGGCCAATTTTTTTTCTCCTATCAAGTCTTGTGATTCTCTATGAACCAGATCTTTGCAAGAAAAAGCTTAAGAGGGCGGGTGAGTGTAGTTCAGGATTTAGGACACTAGGTGGCGCCTGGGTTAGAGGCGAGGAGGAGACAAAATGTCTGCAGGCTCACTCGGTTCAGGCTCTTGATTTGGTTTGAATGAAGAATGCATCATTCTAAAAGTTGAATTTTTTTCAATCAAAAAGAAACCTACTGCTCTGATTCTAGTGAAAAAGTCAGATTTGCGTGTGCGCTCGCGCGCCATGTGTTTTAATGAGCAGTCTGTAATCTAGGGATCATAATTGAACCAGACTGTAATAGATATTATTATCAGGAGCTCTTTTTCTCTATCAGAAATGTTAGGCATCTTCTGTGTTCTCTTTGAGATGACACTTTCAAATCTCGTCCTCCCCTTGTTCCCACAGGACTGTGAGCCTCCTGGGTACAGACACTCCTTCCACAGTGGCGAATACAGATTCATGTCTCTGCTGAATACATTGGCTGTCTGTATGCAGGGGACCATATCAATTGAGTGTTAGAGCATAATGTTAGGAGAAAAGGGGGCATCCGTAGAGGAGGTGAAAAAGTGTTTGCAAAGTGCAGTTCTCATTATGTGCAATTCCCCAGGCCATGTACTATAGAGCTTCACCTTAATTTAAGTTCTGGGGTTGGAGTTGTAAGTATCAGGATGTTGCTAGTATATTTCTCTCCTGGATTCTCATTCATTTATTCTCCTAGGCTACTGTGGGGTGGTTGGGGGACTCTAGATTACACAGCTATAGCTCCCCCCTCCATGTTGCTGGATGAAGCAAGGGCAGGGCAATAGATGACATACGCATGGCTAGATAATGTTCTCCTGAACTGTCCCTAGTCTGCTAGGTCTGAAGTCACAGGGCTTCTATTTCAACACCAGGTGCTCACACCATGTTCTTTGTTCAATGGTAAAAGACAGATTATCCTGTGATTCCCAGTTGCAGCTTCACATTTTACCATTTGTGTTGGCTGGTCTCCAGTGTTCCCTCCTCCTATTTATTTGAGAACTTTCTCCACTCTCAGGGCCTCAGAGACTGTTCTGTTCTTTGTGAACTGGTCTGGTCTCTGTCTCCCACTCTCTTGACTTCTGGCTTTCCAGCCGGGCTCAGCCATTGGATGGAGGAGAGAAAAGTGATGTCTGTGCCTGTGGTCCCCTCCTGCTGATGGTGGCAAGTCCCTCTGGGGCCATGCTCCTCTTAGCAGCCCTTCTGGGACCTCTCATGAACTTGCTATGACATCACCTTCTGCCCTCACCCCTTGAAGCAGCTTTCTGCTCTGCTGCCCCTGGTTGGTTTGTTCACCTGTCCAGGCCTCCCTCCAGCCAGCCCTTGGAGACACTGGCTCTTTCCTGGAAGCCTTCCATGGATTCACTGTCCAATCAAACTGGCGTTCCTAACTTAGCCTTTTTGAGCCTCCGTTTCCTTCTAAAATGGGAACATTAATATCTACCTTGCTGGTTGTGAGCAACAAATATAATAACCACTATAAAACAAGATACATTAAAATATTAATTTCATATAAAAACATAGTTATTGACACAATGAATGCCACAGGTTAGGAACTTGATCAATGCTTTTATTCACTTATGTTGATTTTTTTCATGAATGGATAGATTTATGAATGGATGGATGCTCAAGCACCTTAGAAAGGACGGGAGTGCCAGCACACACCATGGTCCAGGACGTGGACTCTGAGGCCAGACTGCCTGCAGTAGAACCCCAGGCCCTTTCGAGCTCCGTGGGACCTGTCTGTGTTTCAGTTTCCTCAGCTCTTAAGTGCAGCCAATGATAGGACCGCTCCCCCACAATGTGGGTGCAGACAGGATTATACCAAGTAATATGCAAAGCATGTGTCTTTGATTATTTCTGAAATGTACTAAACTGATGTTGCCCCTCCTTCTTGTTTTGGGTGACTCCCCGCCCCTCCACCAGTCAAAGCTGCACAAGTCCAATTGCCATTTGCAGCCACATTCAGCAGGAACCTTGCTGGTGGCAGGGGGCAGCCTTTGGGTCTCATCTGTCCCAGTGGCAGCTTGAGACTGGGTCCCCGATGCTTTGGAGTAACAGTTCAGAGGCTGGGCCAAACTTGAATGCTAGACTCAAGCTGTTATCTCAGCAGGGAGCAGGCTGGAAGGTTTTAGCCTCCAAGCTCAGAGTCAGCCGACGGTCATGTGGAACAAGTCGGCAGATGGTGGGATGAGATGGCCGCATCCCTGGCCCTGTGGTGTTCCTGTAGTCTGGGAAGATGGGGGGCAGCCTGAGCAAAGAGGGCTTCGGAACAGGCGCCTCCTCTGGCTCCTTGGGGTGAAGGTCCTGCAGATCATAGTCCACCTTCCTGCCAGGATGCAAAAGTGTCCTCTCCATCCTTGAATCCCGGGAGTTGAGTGGAATTTGCTGCAGATGTGTCATCCATCCTCTGAGGACTTCCTTCACTGTAGCACCCATCTGCATGAGCTCTGGGAGGATGGCGTTGGAGCCCGTCTTGGTGGGTGTCACGAATATTTAAGCGTGGTTGCTGCAGAGAGGGGAAAGTGGGTTCCTGATTGTGCAGCCGCCGGCCTTTTTGTTGGTTTGTGATGGGGAGGACGGGACCATTTAGCACATGAAACTCCCGCCCATGTTAGCTCAGTGCTTTATTAACGAAATCTCTGATGTCCCAGTATCAGATGGAAATCAGCACTGCTTTACCTAGAATTCCAAGAAAACTGAGTGTACCATCAGGATGGAACCCTCTCTCACCTCTTTTAGTGTAGAGTGGATAATTTAGAATGTTTTACTCTTCCTTCATTGTCCCATCTTCCATCCCTGTGGCAGTAGCAGTACCTGTGCAGGTGTTCAGTCAGTGAGAGATGGCGTGTGCGACCGTGGTCCCACGACGTTAGGATGGAGCCCAAGCAGACCTCTCACCTAGTGATGGCTCGCAGTCTTAATGTGTGTCACAACAACAATGTTGCCCAATGACACGTTCTCAGAATGGGTCACTGGGGTTGAGCCGCATGTGACTGCCTTGTGTCCCCTGTCCTCAGGCCCTCTTTAATTTTTCCACTCCTTTCCAAAAGTTTGATTCTTAGCACAGAATAATTATGTCCTGGTAAATTCTTTCATTTGTAATTTCTTAAGTTCTTTTGACATAAACACATGTAGGTTATGTTAGAGTTTTCCATTTATTTTGTCTTAAAATAGCATTTTATTACCAAGGCACGTTTGATCTGAGATGTGACGTGACCTCCCAGGCTTTTTACGGTTGACCCATGATTCACATTTTGGGTCTGTAGCTTTTTTGCAGGTTCCAAATGGGCCCAAACCTTGTCCATAGGGGATTTCAAATCATTTCTGTGATTCTGAGAAGTCTTTTTATTTTGGGGATGGGTGGGTGGGTACTGGGGATTGAACTCAGGGACACTTGACCACTGAGCCACATCCCCAGCTCTATTTGGTATTTTATTTAGAGACAGGGTCTCACTGAGTTGCTTAGTGCCTCGCTGTTGCTGAGGCTGGCTTTGAACTCATGATCCTCCTGCCTCAGGCTCCCAAGCTGCTGGGATTACAGGCGTGTGCCACCATGCCCAGCTCGAGAAGTCTTTTTGACATCTCAGGCAAAATCTGTGTCTATTCTCCCTCTCACTGATGTTCCCTATAACTTCAATGGGAAAGTCTCAATTTCATTACTTAAATTCCTTGGGGATGGGGATATGAAGTAGTTCATGCTCCAGGTCTGATCCCTTTGTGAGGACCCCCCAGGAGGCACCTGCCTGGCCTGTGGGATCTTGGGGACTTCCTCTGGGCTCATTTTCCTTTCAGGCTGGCCCTGGGGGGTGCCTGTGACGGCAGAACTCCACCTCTTGCTCTGTGCCCAGGTGACCCTGCTCCTGCTGCAGTTATTACCAGATGAAACCTGAGGGAGGAAGGCCAGGTAGTTCCCAAACGTCACGAGGCCCCAGGTGACTCAGCAAGGTCAGAGTCTGCAGTGGCGGTGGTGGCAGCAGCCTCGCGATTGGCAAGTGGGAGCCTGGAGGGAGGGGGGATGTTAATGCCTGACTGTCTCCTCCCCACCTGCCTTGTTTCCGGCTCTGCCAGGCCTGTGATTGCATCATGCACACCTTTGTAAACAATCCATTTAGCAACCAAATTATACCCCGGGTAATTATAGCTTCCAGCCTCGTGTCAGGGGTTCCCAGTTCTACAACCTGTCTCTGGTGATATCACAGCCTGCAACAAGAGGGGGAACCGGCTTTTGCTGAAATCTTGACGAGACATTGGGGAGAGATGGCACGTGGGGGTGGGTTGCCTTGACTTATGCTAATTGTCTGCGGATCTTGTTTTGACAGTCCTGAAATTGTGTTTGGACTGTTGATTAGATCAATATGGGAAACCGGGCTGGAGCAGTTTGTCTTTGAGGAAATAACAATCTGGGTAAGATCAGCTTCTCTGGTGTGAAGGAGGAAGTTCATTCCTAGCTCTGGCCACCTTCCTGTTCCACTTGAAGCTGCCTTTTTCTACTGTAGCTCTTAAAATGGACAGGGGACACCCTGGCACAGGCCAGGAGCTGGACAGTGGGTGGAGTAACAGCAGAAGGCAAGACTAGATGGGTAGCCAGCCTGTGCATTTAGAAAGAGGAATCCACGGGGGCCGGGGTGTGGCTTAGTGGTAGGCTCATGCTCCGCATATGTGTGAACCTGGGTTCAGTCACCAGCTCCCAAAAAATTAAATCAATGATAGTAAATAATTAAAGCAATTAATAAAAAGAGATATCCAAGGGATTACTCTGAGCCTCTTTCGGTGGCTCTACAGACAATGGTTCTATAAAAGGGCACAGTGGGAGGGGAGAAGGGCACCAAGTAGGAGACGGCAGCAGTAGGGGGGACCGTGGAGTAGCCACAGGCTGAAGAGAACCTGATTAGGGCCCTGTGCCAGCAAAGGAGTGGGTATGTCTCAGATTTCCTAAAAGCAGCATCTGCTGGTGATGCTTGGGTTTATGACCTTGCTGGTCGCTGAGATCTGATGATTCTTTACACCTCTGGTGACAGGAAGATTTCATCACTGGAGCTGAGGACAGGAAGCCCCACAGCCATTTACACATGCCACATTCCAAGGCAGAGCGGGCCTGTGCAGCCTGGGATTCTGTGGCTGGGATTCCCTCTGCAGGTGTGCCGCCTCTCTGTCGCAGAGGCCCAGAGGCTCACGCCGGCATGGAAGGCGACAGGGAAGGGAATGAAAATGAGCTGTGTATGAGTGTCTCCAGGCTTCCCTCCCTGCCCGTCAGAGAGCTTTGCATCTCAGCTGACTGGCCTTCCCCGTCCTGTCCACTGGGAAGGGGCCGCCGTGTTTAGGGTGCTTCTCTGCTTGCTCAGCTGTGGCTGGCCAGGGGTCCTTTGGGATGATTTTAGGACAGAGTTGCTAGAGTACAAGGGAACTAGATGGGGAAAAAGGGAAGGAGATTTAAAGAAGTATTGCCGTGAGCCCTGTGTCTCTGTCACAGTGTTTAAGAGATGTATATATAAAAATATAGACGGTCATTTTGAGGGTTTTTGCCACAGCACTGGTCTGAGACTGGGCCACATGGAACATGGAGTATGTGGAGGCAACGTGATCACGAAGGCTGGACAGTAGCCAACACTTCCCTGTCTTTTGTGAGAGTCTGGCAATGGAGCTCTTCTGGCTTAGTCTACATCCTTGAGAGCTTTAGCACACACACAGACCCTGGGATACAGGCTCTGATCTCAGTCCAGCAGGAACTGAGGGGAAAACATTTGTTTCCCTCGGAAACTCTCAGCAACACATTCATGCAAGCTTTCCAAAAGGCTGGGTCTGGAGCCAACTCCACTGTGCATTTAGAGGCCTCTGCCCATTTTTCTAAGTCCATTTCTGGGACTCTTTGTAGAACTATGATCCCATTTAAAAAATTTGCCTGAGTGCTTCCTCAAACGCAATGGATAATTTGCTTGGCTGTACTATTAGCATATGTTTGCATATTTGTTTCCTAATTAAAATATGAGTAAGAAGAAAAGGCTAATTATACCCAAAGTGCATGAGTCGTCATGATTAAAACCACATTTAATAATTTTACTTACTGGTTTTGAAATCCTGAGTGATCTGCTATTCATCATTTGCTCCCCTCAGTCCCCACTGGTCACACCTCAGGGGATTGCTGTGGAGAGGGTTCTCATTCTTATCATGTTTTAGCTGTGTACTTAATGTTGTGGGGAGGACTCCAGATCAGGTGCTGTGGAATTGGAATTTGAAGCTATTCCTAGGCCTCAGAAAGACTAGAATCAAATGGAGGAGAAAGGACCCATGTAGAAATTACACCCACACCAAAAGAGGACTGGGCCCAGGTACCTTCAGTGGTACCATCGGCCCAGTGGGCTGCTGGATTCGACCCCTGCAGATACCAAATTCTGTGGATGCTCAGGTATCTTAAATAAAAAGCTGTCGTATTTGCTTATAACCTACTCACATCCTCCCATAGACGTTAAAGCATCTCTGGATTACTTATAATATCTAATGTAATGTAAATGCCATGTTATCCTGTGTTGTTTAGGGAATAATGACAGGTGGATAAAGTCTGCACATGTTTAGTACGGACAATTTAAAAAATATTTTTGATATGCACGATTGATTAGTTGAATTCATGGATGTGTAACCCATAGATATAGGTTTTATTGTTAAGATTCCTAGTCTTAAATTGGGTGGTGAGCTTCTTAATCAAATAATATTATTGAATTCATAATAGTACAAATGTTATCAGGTACTCTTGAATATGCTGCATATTACTTGAGTGTGTGAGTGTTGTGTGTGTGTGTGTGTGTGTGTGTGTGTTACTGGGGATTCAACCCAGGACCTCACACATGCTAGGCAAGTGCTCTACCACGGAGCAACATGCCCAGCCCTTTTTATTTTATTTTGAGACAGGGTCTCACTAAGTTGGTCTTGAACTTGTGATCCTTCTGCCTCAGCCTCCTGAGTTGCTGGGATTATAGGCATGAGACACTGTCCTGGGCTCAGGTTTTTTTTTTTTTTTTTTAAATTATTATTTTAAAATGATAACTAGCATCTCAGGAAAGTTGCTGCTTTTATTCATGATAAGGAGCCAATCTTTTTAAGAATACTGAGTTCTGAAGAGTTAACTTTTAGGAGAAGGGAAAGCAGAAAGTCCTAATTTGGACACATTTCTAAGACTCCTGGAGTTTCCATCAGTTCTGGTGAGTTTAGGTAAGTCAAATAAGCAAGTTGGGCAGAGTCACCTTCTTGGCCTGCATGGGCCTCTGGTCCATTAAGTGACACAGATCTGAGTACAACTGGGGCTGCCTCCCTGGCAGACACTGTCATTGAATGCCACCACAGAAGTACTAATGCTTGGGTCTCCAGTGGAAAACTACATGGCTCTGAACCTTCTACTGAGATTGAGTCCTGAGGTTGAGGCCTGTAGACCTTCTCGTCAGCCCTGTGAGGGGTGCTGAGAAACAGGAGGGGAAGAGCCGGCAGGAAGGGCCCCTTCGCCTTTGCTCCCCTCAGTCCCCACTGGTCACACCTCAGGGGTTGCTGTGGAGAGGGTTGGCAAGTGTCAGGAACAGAGAAGAGGCCACAGTGCCACCAAGCCAGCACTGACCATCCTCCTGGTCCAGTCAAACTCCTCCCCTTCCCGATGCCACCACCCTCTCTCAGTCCTTAGGGGTTCCTGCCCCTTCAGTGACACAGTTTCCTGAATGATGGATCTCCCTACCTTTGGGCTGTCCCTCCCCATCCAAAACGTACCCAGAGAGGGAGATCAGCTTTATTCTCTTGCTCAAAATATTCCAGGCTCTGCCCGTTTCCTTGTAGAGACGAGTCCCCTGTCAGCTAGTGTTGGGGGCCTTTTAGGCTGTGGCTCCAGTCTCCCTCTGCGCTCTAGGGAGACTTGGCTCCCAGTGGGCCTCTCTGTGCCCAGTGGGTCTCATCTCTTTGCAGATCCTTCTTGGCTCAGTGCCCAGGCCCAGAGCCTGGCTCCTGCTTGCACAATTATCTCTTGGTCTGTTGTCTTCTTGCCTGTTTTCTTTTGGCATCCTAGATGCTTGGAGAAGGCAAAGCGTGAGACTGGGGAGGGGTTACAAAGACCTTACTGTGGCCACTAGTGTAGCTCAGTGATAGTGTGTGCGCTTAGCAGTTTTGAAGCCCTGGGAAGAAAAGGAAGAGAAAGAAGAGGAAGAAGGTTCTAGGCACTGCCTAATAAAATAAGGACTAACTATGATGGGGCAGCGGGTAAACTGAGCATTCAAGTACTAATCCTATATCACTCAGGCCTGTCTGCACCCACCCCCATCCCCTTTCATGGCAGATCAGCCACCAGGTGACTTGGGGTGTTCTTGTGTTCCAACCTTAGTCCAAATCCTAACCAGATCCTTGTCTGGCTGTTTTCGAATTTCTTCCCAATTTCTCATCCTCCCTGCTTAACTGTCACCGTGAAAGTCTCCCTAGCACACTGACAAAGAGGTCCACCGCCCCCCTAGACCAAGATCCACATTCCTTTACCCGGGGCATTCCATTTGTGCTTTCCTCTGTCACTACATAGGCCACCTTCCTGTCCTGTGACAACCTTTGTTGTGTCCTGACCCTCTCTCTGAAAGTGCCCCCCCCCCCAGCCCTTGCTTCGTGGCAGGCCTTACTTTACACAGAGAAAAGAAAGAGATGGTCCTTGTCCTGTCTGTTCAGACTCCACTCAAATCTCCCATTCTCGATGGACTGATTCGGTATCTATCTAGTCTAGGTCGCTGGTCTAGACGCTGCAAGGGATGCCACATTGAGTAAGAACCAGTTCTTTTCCTCCAGAGGCTCCATGCTGCAAATCCGTCTCTCTCCATGAAACTTTATGTCCCCTCCCACTCAAGCCCGTGGAAAAGCAGCTAAATTCCTACTGCTCTGTGTTAATCAGGGTCTATGGGCAGGCAAGAAGCAGCGATGGACTCCAGAGTAACCTTTGACCCAGCAATTCCACTGCCAGGAGATGACTCCAGGACCCCCCACAGGGGACATCAAGGTTGATAAAGAAGGATGCCCATGGCACCACTGTTTGCGTAGCAGAACAACCCAAATGTCTGCCAAGAGAAACCTGGTTAAATAAATGATGGAACATTCTTAGACCTTTTCCAAAGATTTAAGAGGGCTTCCATTTGCTGATGCCAAGATAAAGCCACCTCTGAGTTAGATTATGGAGTGAGAAGAGCAGAAACCAGCACAGTGTAAACAGTGTGATCCATCTCCCGTAATTTAAAAAAATGAGACGCTATATATTTTGGTAAATGCACACATTTATTTTGGTAGAAAATAGACAAGAAGCTGATAACAGTGACACCTTTGGAAAAAGGGACAGAAAGAGAAGTTCTTACGTTTTATTAGATACTGTTTGATTTTCTTACTTTATACCATTGACTACATTTACTGGGAAAGTTCAATAAGTGTCATCTGGATGGTGGAATCAGGGGACAATTCTGGTTTCTCCCTAGAGTTTTCCATATAAAATGAAATTCAAGAGTTGTATTCTTAGGCCAGGAATCCTGAGTTGTGCCGGTGGGGGTGCAGGGAAGGAATGGTATTCAGCCTGTCCTGAGCTTTTGCTGATGGGTCAGGTTTGAAAGTCACTACAGGAGCTTCTGGAACCCGACCACTCTCTTCTCTGGCCCAGGGGGTGTGAAGATGTGAGGTCTGGCTCACTGTAGCCCTTTTGCTTCTCTGAAACAAAACTGGTGGTGATTCCACAACCTAAGGACAAGCAATGGGTGGTGACAGAGAAACAGGGACCCTGGTGACATTTTTGGGCCACAGAAGCACGCTTCACCCAAAGGTGAAGTCTCTAGACTTTTCACTTATGAAGCCAATAAATCCTCTGTGTTGTTTAAGGCAGCTCGAGTTCGGTCCTTCGTCACCTGTAACATTAAGAGTCCTGAATGATAGACTTCCATTAACTGAGACAAGTTGAGGATGTCTTTATCCCTCGAAGCCTGAAATTGCCTAATTTATAAAGTATTTAATGATGTTTCCAAGATAAACCCTCGCCTGGCACCCTGGGCTCTATCTGATTGCCTGCTATATTTCTACCTCTAGAAATGATCTGTCAAACCGAGAAGGATGATGTTGGGATGCAGCCTCCATGCCAGTGAAAGAATTATGCTCTCTGGTTACCCTTTGTCATGTAACTCTTGAATAAATTTGGGTTCGACAGATTAAGGGCATAACCAAGAAATATTGCTTGTGATTTAACTGATATTTGGGTTTGTTCATTGAATCACTTCATTTGACAGCCATGTGTTGAGGACTCACCGTGAGCTGGAATCCCTGCTAGGCCCTGGGTGTAGACAGAGTGGTAAGTAAAACAGACCCGCTCTTTACCCTCATAGGGGTTAGAGGCTAATGGGGAAGATAGACACTAAACCAGTAACCAATATTCACACAGATAAACAAGGCATTTATACACTTAGATAAGTGTATAAAAGACCAGCACTGAGTACATAGAGAGCATCGCAGGGATTTCTAAAATAGATCCTTCTAAGGAGATCACTTTAAGCTGAGAGCTGAAGAAGGAATTGCTATTAATTAGGCAAAGAGTGAGGAAAAGAATGTTCCAAGGAGGAAGAAAAGCATGAGCAAAGGCCCTGAGGTGTATACGAACTTGACTCATTTGACTGCTTTGTATAGCCAGTGAATGAATGAGGGGAAGCTCTGCAGGGCACAGGGTTGGGGGGGGGTAGGGAGAAGCTCTATATTTTAGCCTAAGGGAAATGGGTGCCACTGAAGGTGATATCGCAAAGCAGGAGAGAGACATGTTCTGAGTTGTGTTTTTAAAAAGATCTCTTTGGTTTATTGTGCAGAGAATGGATCCAAGAGGCAAGGGTGGAACTGGTGAGACTAGTTGGGAGTTTTGCAGAAATCCAGGTGAGTTTCTGGGGACTAGGAGTCAGGTGGGGGCTGTAGTGGGAGAAAGTGGAGACATCCACTTTCAGGTGGCATCTGTGAGGCTCAGGAGAGTGGCTCTGTGTTCTGTGGCAGGTGGGAGGGAGGGTCAGGGAGGACCACCAGCCTTCTGCCCTGAGCCATTGGACAGACTGGGAAGGGCCCCTTGGATGTTGAACGTTCATTTTGAGCTTTGTCTGTGTGGACGTGTCCTTCTGCTGGGCCAGGTGGAAGTTTCGTCTTCCTGTCTCAGCTGATGGGCAGATCCCAACCCTTTACAGAGACAGATTTTTCTAAGCTTGTCTAGAAGCCAGGCAAGAGTGGGATGGCACACTTCATTGCTCTCCTGGAAGAGCAGGCAGATAAAGGAGGCAGGAAGCCAGTGCAGCGTTAGGGGGTTGGAGGGGAGGGGCTGGGAGGACGTCTGGCCACCCTGTCACTTTCTTTGCAAGACCCCTGAATCGTTGCCTCCTTTGTCCAGGGCCTCTAGTCCTGGGATAACTGAAGGAAGAATCGTAGTCCAAGAACCATCAAGGGCAGACAACCTCTCAGCCCTGGGGACATCCTAGCATCCTAGTTTTGAAAATTTCTTGAAGATTTTCATTCCATTGACCTATGTGGACTAGAAGCATATAGGAGTCTCATTTTCAATTTATTAACTTATTTTCCACAAACTATAATAACTACAAAAATTTTTTTTTGGAAGGAAACATATTCATGAGTCTATGACCCAAGAACAATGATATCTTTTTAAAAAATATTTTGCATATAACCTTCTAGTCCTTAATACATTAATCCAGTTCACCAAATTCTAATGAAGTACTCAGGACATACCAGGCCTTGTTCTCAGAACCAGGGATACAGACAATAGCAAAATGGACCAAAGTCAACAAACATGCATATTTCAAATAGTTAAGCATACAATATGCCATTTTAATCTTTAGGAATTTTAAATGGTATTTACATTTTTCTAAATTACTTAATGCCCACATGGTATGCTAACATGTTAAGAAAAGAATTTATTAAAATATTCACCAGTTGGGACCACTGTCTCTGCCAACAGACCCTGGGAATGATTCTCACCACTGCATCCCCAGCCGCCGGTACCATGCCCAACGGACAGAAGCAAATATTCAGTAAATATTAGCCGAAATGGCACTTTGTTTCTAGTTTGGGAATAGCACTAACACAGCAACAATCATCTGTGTACCTAGAGGCTTCTGTTGAATGATTCCCGAAGACAGATCTTTTCAAACTTGCTCATCAAAGTTCTCACGGCAGCAATAGAAATTGAACACTTGGGGGCAGGCATGAGGGGGGGCTGTCAATGGTGGCTACAAAATACACAAGTATTTAAATATAATTAAAATGATGTGGTCCAGGAAAATGTTTGTAATTACAGTATTACGTCTTTTCTATTGACTTTGGCACATCCCTGAAGAGAGTAGTGCCTCACTTTGGTCTACACAACAGGTTCAAGATGCATTGAATTGTCTTTCCCAAACATGCTGGAGTCCTGATCACCAGGACCCATGACGACAACCCAATGTAGAAATAGGGTTTTTTCAGATGAGCCAGTTAAGATGAGGTCAGAAGGTAGTCCCCAACCCAATATCTGTCCTTATAATGTAGGGACATTTGGATACAAAGACAGGTGACTAGCAGGGAAGACACCATGTGTACCTAAAGGCAGAGATCTGGTGTAGCACCTGCTGTGGGAGGCTGAACTAGCCCTTGACTGGGTCTGACTCCCCTGCTGAGTGATGTGGCATCTGGCGGCCATGCTGCTGGATAGCCCCGGTCTTCTAGGATTCCAGTGACTGTGTCTCGTGCATGGGTGTGCCTTCCTTTAGCCCCATGGGTCGAGCTACGCTCACCTGTTCCTTTGTGATATTGCCCTGCTTGGGATAGAATGTTCCATGGAAGTCCCCTTCTCTTACTCTGCCCTTGGATGTGGCCTTCCTAGATGTCAGTCAAGCTGCTGACTTCAGACATCATGAAACTGGACTCAGCCCCTTGAAACCTGACCCCTTGCCTCATTTGAATGGCTTCTCCTCAATAAAAGGGATCAGCACATGCTTCCTCTCTCTTTCTTTCTGTAGACTCTTAGGGTCAGAGGAGCCGTTACAGCACCCCCCAAAGAAAAAGGTATCTCTGTCTCTTGTGTGGTTATTTCCTGCAGCCCAGTTCCCCTGGAGTGACCCTGAGTGTTTTAGTTGAGAGCAACCTGGCAACCTGCAGGTCAAGATAGGCCAAAGTCCACCAGCAAATGCCCAGAAGCTGGGAGAGGAGGCCTAGAGGATACCAACCCTGCTAATACCTTGATCTAGGACTTCTGACCTCCATACCATGAGACACATTTCTGGAGTCAAACCATTCAGTCTGTGGCACTTCACTATGGCAGCTAGGTAAGCAAACTTGTACAGATGTTGTGCAATAAACTGTTTTTTTTTTTTCCTCCCAACCTAGTGGGTGTCCAATGACTCCTTAATCCTGATTTGATTTTTTTTTTTTATTACATAACTTGAGAGAATGAATGCTTGCCCGGGAGTCTGTTTGCTTATTGAACTCTTGCTTGTCTGTGTATGTCCTGAGGTGGGGTCTTGCTCCCACTTGGGAGGTGCCTGGATTAGTCTGTGCTCATTTGATGAAGTAAAAGATTAATTAACAACCTAATTGAATTTTATTTCATGGAACATCTGTCCAATTAAGTCTGACCAAAGAAAATATGGTCTTTAATACTTACATTTCCCGTCAGCACCTATGACTCCTTTTAATTTGCTGAAACAAGGGCTTTGAGGCAATTCTGCAGGGATCATTATTTTACTCTCACCACCTAGACAGGTCTGCTCAGAAATACTCATTGTTTTCTAACAGGTATGAGGAGGAATTCACTCACTTCCTACTTCCGGGCTCAGGAGTGCTTGCACATAGTAGGGCTTCATACAAGATGGAGAAATGAGCCTCGGATAATAAGTGACACCAATAACCAGTTATCATGTGGGGGTCTGAGGAGGCCTTTCCAGAGACTGAGGAGAAAAGAAGGTTCAGAAAAGAGTTTAAGGACGTCAGATCTGAGAAACAGAGCAGAGATTCATTGTGAAGGGGAGGTTCACATACCTGGGGGGCGGGCAATCTCAAGAGCAGGGTACTCCTCCAGGGCTGGCAACCAGGCAACTGTTAGGGTTCATGATTAGGTAGAATATGTATGACCCAAGAGGCGGGACTTCCTTAGGGGTTGGAAACTATCGGGCAAGATTGTGTTTCACCGTTAGGGGGTCTGGTATGTAGGTTTCAGTTTATATCAACATCTCTGGCTGTCAGGTGATGAATCCAGTGATGTGGCCACAGGGTCATGGTCCAATCAAACATTGGCCCCTGGCCTCACGAGATTAATGGTCTTTTTCTATCCAGGACTTGTTTCTGTTTTGCTACATTCCACAAAACTTATGGGGAACTGGAAAGTTACAAAGTAATTTATGAGCTGTTCTGTGCATCCTTACATTCTGGCCCTTTCTGTCCCTTAGGTTCCTTTGTCCAGCTCACAAACTGTTACGAGTTGTTTGTTCTTGTATTTTAATAGGGATATTTTTCTTCAGAAACTCAGTGTTCCTTGAATTTGTATTTGTATCCCTATATCCCTGAATTTATACCTTAGATCTACTTCTAAGAATGTGAAATGTCTGAAAACCAATCCTATGATGAGTCCCGGTACTAAGGCTACTTGCTACAACAGATAAAACTTCAAGTCTCAAGTTTGTATCTCACAGGGTCTGATGTGGGTCAGATGGCCAGCCTTTCTTGCAGCTAGAGGGTTTGTCTAAGGAGGATGAGTGAGGAGGGGTCCTTCAGGGCAGAGAAAGAGGGAGCTGGAGGAGTCCCATTTGCTCTTACCTGGTTCAGCCTGGAAATAGAAGCTGGTGGCCGATGCTCACATTTCATTGGCCAGCACTAGTCACATGACCCCATTCTAACTGGGGCAGGGTGTGCCCAGCAGGTCTTGGAAGAGTTCAAGTGTGTCTCTGTTGAAGTTTAACAGAAAAGTACCTGGGCCCGTGAATGGGTTCATGCAAATGCAAGGGTATTCATGAGGGAAATCTTTTTAAAAAGTAGCCTTGAAAAAAAAAATCAGAGTTTTTACGGTAGAGATTTGGAAACAGTCCACATCTCCCATGGAGGCAACCCTCATGTTCCCCTTTTGGAGGACAGAAAAGGAGATAAATGAACTGAAACCTCTCCCACCCTGCTGCTGCCCCTGCCAACTGGAAACCAGAACGGAGCCTCAAGGCAGAAAACAAAGTATATTCCTGCACGTTTGTGCAGTCGCTTTGACAGGTGTTCACCTTTGTGTGACTGCATTGGAGTGTGGGTGAGGTTAGCACTCGAGGCCCCAAACTCTGATTTGTGAGTTTCCTACAACTTTCTTTATCCCACAGGGGCTTCATGTCAGAGGCACCTGGGTTCCAGAACAGAAAAGTGAAAGGTTGGTCTGCTATTGAGGTGCTGGGACTCTCCCCGAGGGAGCCAGGGTGCCTGGGCAGAGTCTGAGAATCACCAGTGAGGAGGGTCCTTGGCAGGTAGAAGCATTTCTCTGGAGGTGACTCTTGGCATGAAGGAAAGGTTTTCTGGTTCTGAGTGTCAGGCTTCTTTGTAACACCCACTTGGCACCAAGGGAAGACCCAGGATGCCAATTCTAAGGCTTTTCCAAACCTGCCTTCCTTCTCTTTGAAATAAATGGCAAGTATTGATCAGCAAAACCTTGCTGTTTTTCGCTTAAGGCCTTCAGTCATTTCTAATTATGGATCTGCCCTGGACATTTTTTTCAAACTCATTTTACCAGGAAGTTGGTCTGGACAAGAGTTGCAGGGGCGAGGTCTCGCTGCACTGGCTTTGTGCCAAATACGCTCCTGATGTGCTTTACCAGCGCTATCAGGCGAGGCATTTTCAAGCCTTGAGTTTGAAAAGTGATAGAATCGGCCTGTTTCACAATTTTATCCCAAGGCGAAGACGCATAAAACTAACAGTGATAAGAATTTTTGTTACTTAAATGTCTGTCTGTGTGGCTGGCACTGTGCTAGATGCTTTATATGTGTTATTTCTAAACTTTAAAAAGGACTGCAATCGTGCCCATTGGATAAGTAAGAAAAATTGGAACTTGGGAGGGTTTACATATATGTCACTAGCTTGAAGTTATATACTTAGCAAGTGGCGGAGTCAGTTTACAAAGTCACAGGTCAGTAGTGGATTTATAATGCAGGCCCCTGTTTTCCAGATGAGGAAGGAGCTGCAGGGAGGTTGTGGGACCCTCCCAAAGTGACTCAGTTTATTAGTGACAAGTCATAACCCAAACCTGGGGTTCATGATTCAGTCAGTGGTCTGCTCTGTGTTACCCAATGCACATTTACCCTGGATGCCCTTATCTTTAGACCAGAAGAGAAGTCAGGGACTGGCCACCACTAGGTAGGTTCAGGGCGAGTGCTGGTCACAGGCAGGATTAGAGGGTTGAGACTTTCACCTTTACCCCAACCCCAACCTCTGAACTGAGCCGTGGCGAGTGCTGTGATCACGCATGCCTAAGCAATGAAGCCTCCCTGAAGACCCCAGAGGGTGGGTTTGGGGAGCTCCTGTGCAGCTGAGCACACACAAGCTCTGTGGCCTGCCGCAGTCTGGCTGGGCACAATCAGGAGCCACTTGTCAAAAGAAACTAACTTTATTTTTAGAACCACACACGACAAACAAAATAGTCTCTCAGGAAAAACCCTCAGAGCCTCAACTGCCACCACCGGCTTTCCCCAAGCCTCTCTCTCCCACCAAGCTTCTCTCCACCTCCCACAATCCTCCTGCTCTTGAGGCCGATTGGCTGGGTCACGTGGGCGGAGCCAAAAAAGTCCCCCAATGAGCAGCTCCGTGGTCTGAAAGGGCAGGGAAACAGTCCAATGAGCATCACCGCAGAGGAGCCAATCAGCTAGATGTTGCTGGGGCCGCTGTGAGCCAATCATCAGCCAGCAGCTGGAAGTTTGCTGGCAGCTGGAAGTTTGCTGGGGCCCCTTTGGCTGTGGCTCTCAACAGTGGCCCTCCCGGCAGACCCCGCCCTGGGCTTCTCCTCCATCTGGCAGTTCACCTGCATCCCTGTGATGTCCCTTGTGGTAGATAAACATAAGTAAGGTGCTTCCCTGAGTGCTATTGAGCTACCCCAGCAGCTCAGTAGGACTTGAGCAAGGGATTGTGGGAACCTCAATTTATACCCAATTGGTCAGAATCCAAAATCACCTCACATTTCCAATTAATAACTGAAGGAGAGGTCAGTCTTGTGGGACAGAGTCCTCAGGCTGTGAGATCTGATGCCATCTCCAGGTAGATGAGGTCTGGATTGGCCTGAACTATTGGACACCCAGGTATCTTCCTCTGTAGCATTGATTGCTCGGTGTGTGGGACTCCGTGCATCGGAAGTATTGTATTGAGTGGTAAATGAGAACAAAGGAAAAACATTTATTTTCCTTTTCCTTAAGCATCCATCACTAGACTGGTGTCCATCCTTCTAACACATATTGAGTTTAACATAAAGAACACAAGAGAGGAGAAAAATAAAAATTAAAAAAAAATGAGGCAAGCATTTGAAATGTTATAGCCTGAATATTTGTGTTCCCCCCAAATTCCTATGTTGAAATTCTAACTCTAATATCATACGAGGAGGTGATACTAGGACTTGGGGAAGTGACCAGGTCATGAAGGTAGAGCTTTTGTGGACGGAATGAGTGCCCTTATATAAGAACCCCAGAGAGGTCCCTTTCTACCACATAAGGACACAAGAAGATTGCCCTCTGCAACAGGAAGGGGTGACTCACCCAAATCCACTCATGCTGGATCCCAGACTTCCAGCCTCCAGAACCGTGAGGAATGCTTTCTGTCATTTCTAAGCTGCTGGCCTGTGGTCATTTGTTATAGCTGCCTGAACTGACCAAACCCGAGGTTACCTTCTAGCAGAGTTGGTAAACCTTGACTCAGGCCAAACATGACAGCCCTTGCACAGTAGGTACCTTACCAATCTTTCAAGGGTTACCATGAGGATGAGATGGTAGGCTATTCTGTCACAGGTGTATATATACTATAAGCGACCCTGGTGCTTTTTCCCAGCAGTTAGCAATCAGCACCCCCTGCCCATCAGTGCCCATGGCTCCTTCACTGTTCCTTAGACAGGTGCTATGGGCAGCCTCACTGCTGGACACAGTGACCTGATGGCTTTAGGGGCCACGTGGTTGGCATGAATTAATCCACCCAATCCCCATAACAATTCTGGGAGGCAGGTCCTACATTCAGCAGAATTCTTCTTACAGTGACTTAAACAATCGAGACATTTATTATCTAACTTGACAAGAAGCCCGTAGGGAAGTGATCCCAGAATCGTGCCAGGGGTTCAGCAGTGGATTGGTGTCTCTGAGATTCTTCAGGTCCTTCATTGTAACAGCACGACCACGGCAGGGCCAAACACCTCACCTCACGTGACAACTCTCTCTTATCAAGGAGGACTGCTGGCGTCCAGTAGCTCATTGACCAAACCGTGCCACATGACACCCCAACCACAACATGGAGCTGTGAAGGGTCTTTTGACATGACATAAAAAGGTGCAGGAACAATGGGACAATGGAGTAGGGAAAGTGGAGACTGGAAGTCACCTTCGCTTGTTACTCAGTTTCTAATGTGGGCTACTGAAGGTATCCAGGTTTCTCATTTCACCCTCCAAACAACTGGGTAAGATGATGTCTTTGTCAGCTTGGGCTGTACAACCAATAACCGTGGACTGGGGGACTCAACACACAGACATTTATTTCTCATAGTTTCTCATAGTTCTGGAACCCCAAATTCTGGAGGCTGGAAGTCCAAGGTCAGGATGCCAACTGGTTCTGGTTCTGATGAGGGTGCTCGCTGTAGTTTGGATCTTAAGCGTCAGGTGCATCTCAAAGGTCCTTGTGTTAAAGCCTTGATTTCTTAAAAAGGCACTGTCCAGAGGGGGTACAACCTTTAAGAAGCGAGACCCATGTGAGGTCTTTAGGTCTGTAGTGTCCTTAAAGGACATAGTGGGATCCCAGGTCTTTCCTCTTTATCTTTCTCAGTCTCTTTTGCTCCCTGGGCATGAAGTGAGCAGCTTTGCTCTATCACGTAATCACTCCATGATGTGCTGCTTTACTGCAATCCCAAAGCAGTAGGACCAAGAGACCCTGGACTGAAACCTACACAACTGTGAGCCAAATAAACCCTTCCTATTTATAAGTTAATCATTTCAGTTATTTGTTATAGTAACGTGAAACTGAGTAACACAGTCCTCTACCTGGCCTATAGACGACCAGGTTCTTGATGTGGCCTCTGAAGGTAGGGCGTGGGGGGAGAGAGAGAGAGAGAGAGAGAGAGAGAGAGAGATTCTTCTTATAAGGCTTCATGCCTATCAGATTAGGGTCTCACCTTAGGACCTCATTTAACCATATTGCCTTCTGAAGACCTGGTCTCCAGATACAGTTACATGGTGGGTTAGGGCTTTAGCCTAGAGAGTTTGGGGAGACATAATTCAGAGGATGTGGGAATTAGGATCCCCATTTTATACACGAGAAGACTGAGACTCAAAGAAACAGCTATTTGCCTAGGCCACCAGAGACATTGGTGGAGCCCCCTCTGCCTGGGTCTTCTTCAGCTCTGGGGGCTTCAGGCTATCTTACAGAGCCTCTGGGATTCATGGAGGAGCCTCCAGTCAGGAGTGGGGAATTCGAGGGAGTCCTGGGAAGGGAGAGGCTGGGAGAGTGGGGTTTCTGTCCCTGAGTGGCCAGGCAGTGTTGAGAGCTATCCGTGAAATGTGCGTGGACAAGGTAGGCATAGAAGCCATTGAGTGGGAAAGTCTGGTGCCTGGGAACTCAGATCAGCACTTCTTCTGATGAGGTGGCCCAAATATATGTGGATTCCCACCCAGCTCTGCCAAAGATCCCACACACCACCCGAGACGGGGTAACCTGCTGCATCGGCACAGAGACACAGCCTCTCAGAGATGGTGTGGCTTGCCAACATGCCAATCAACCTGTTGACTGCAAGACACCAGGAAGCAAGACTCCACCCACTGAAACCTTATCCCTGCCTTTGATGTACTCCCTTAAATAAAGAACTGGAGCCATTTTTTAGCTATTCTGTTCCAGCTCCTGTATGGGCTTGGAAGAAACTATCAGGTACTCTGCTTTTAATAAATCTATTGTATGGCTCTGACTCTTATTTCTTCACTAATTATTTCAGACTTCATTTTTTTCAGGTGGCTTACCCCCTTCTGAGCAGGCAAAATTCACCCTGGCAGGGTGCTGGCTACCCTGCGATAAGGCAGATCCTGGCCACCCAGAAAATGAGCTCTGCTTTGATCACCTTCGTAGGTTAGAAGTTGGCATCAGATTCCCCTGATAGAGCCTCTGGAGGAAGGGCCTAGAGCCTGGTCTCTTCCCACATCCAGGGCCTTCTCCAAGACAGGCCCCCGAACCCCAGGAGAGGTTTCCTAGGACTGCCGTTAACTATGGCCCCCCAACAACAGGAATTCATTCTCCCACAGCTCTGGAATCTGGAATCAGTGTCACTGGCGAGATTAGCTCCTTCTGGAGGCTGTGAGAGAGCCCCACGCCTCTCCCCTAATCTCTGGTGGCTCCAGCCATTCCCTGGATCGGAGGCCAATCTCTTGCCTCTGACTTTGTTTCTGGGGCTGCTCCTCTGCTTCTGCCACAAAGCTCTTTCTCTCCTCCTGGTACCGTAGTTGATCTTGAATTCCTTGGCTTATTACACCTACAAAGACTCTGTTTCCCAATGAAACCACATTTATAGGTACTGGGAGTTAATAAGCTCTATGTCTGTCGGGAGGGACACAATCACTGCTATGGGTCATCCAGTTCACAGAATCCAAGGCCAACATGGCGGATCAGAAGGGACTTACTTACTATGTGCTCCTTCTGGCCCTCTACAGTTCCTTCCTAAAACAATAGTTTTGTCACCATGCCTGAGGAACTCATGGTCATGGACCAAGTTCCTTCTGACCTTGTGGATGGGCAGCAGGAGGGCTGCAGAGGAGAGACGCACTCAGAGCCCGAGGGGCTGTCTTGGCACCCTGCACGTGAAGGTCCATAAATGGCCTCCTTGACATCTCCCACTTGAACAAGTTATCCAGCGCCTGAACGTGCCTGAGGTCAGTATCTGAGGTGTGACAAGGAAACTTATTAAAGAAAAATGAAAGGTTCAGGTGAACCCCCAACTGCTTTTTTGGATGCATCATCAGATGGAATTCAGAACGGGAGGGGCTGTGAGAGATGATGGAAGTGAAAGTGAGCGGGGGGAGGGTGGGAAAACCAATCCAGCTTGGCTTCATTTAGCAGGGTCAGCAAGGTCAGGCAGTCCAGTGGCCAGGGCCCGGCAGAATGAGAAACAGTCCTGTAGTGACCTGTCCTCACGCCCCTTCCCGTCCTCCCACCTGCATCTCTCCAGCTGTTTGGGGAGGTCTAGGGAGTTCCTGTACTTTTCTGTCTCATTTAGGACACTATGAGTGTGTTGAGTCCCTCACGTCCCTAGTAGAGGCACCAAGAAAAGGGGGACCAGGGAGAAGCACCCACTGAACGGATCTTCCTTTCTGGCAATTCCTAGGCACCATTATCAACTCGTAGGAGTAGAATTGACATAAGACAAACAATCATTTTTAGAGGGTATACAATGAGTTTATTTATTTTTGTTTTTTTAAAGACAGGGTCTCTGGTACCCAGGCTGGCCTGGAGCTCCTGAGCTCAAGGAGTCTTACTGCCTTAGCTAAGTGCTGGGACTACCGACACTTGCCAACCCTGGCTATGATGAGTTTGATGAACCAAATCAGCTATTTATCCAACACAATTACCATAGGGAACATTTGTATCACCCTAAAAAAAAAAAACCCTGTCCCCCTCTGCAGTCAACAGCTTTTGAACAATCCTAGCTCCTGGCAATCACTACCTCATTCCCCACCCCCACCTCTGTGGTCTGGACGTTTCCAGAAATCTTATAAATGGAACCACAGAGTGTAGAGCCTTTTGTATCCAGCTTCTTTCCTGTAGCATGACACTTTTGA